ATATGTGTGCGAGTTGTGTATGTGGGCGGGGGATGAGTGTGCTAATGGCCTGAGATACATGAGATACATTCGAGAACAGATAGAGATACACATTCATGTGCTGTGGAAGTTGAAAGCGGATACTCTTACTGATGGTTTTATCGTGTGGTTCTTTATGTTTTCTTGAGATATGTTAGGCAGTAATAAATGTATGAAAATAGTCCACCTATAGATACTTTTGCCAGTGGCTTGGAGTATATTTTAGATCGATTTTTAGAGGCTTAGTTAACGATGTTCTAGGGCATTAAAGATGGCAAGCTCGAGACATTTTTTTGAACCACTTTACTAGACATTTGCGCGGTAATTTTGAAGTATTTTCTTCTTGGTTTTTTAAAAATACTTTAAGGAAAATGTTGCTGTTTTTCTATAGCCTTTAAAGCTACCTTTTTCAAATTGTTCATGTGCACCCTTTAAATGTTGATTCATCATCGAGAGAAATCATTGAATCGTTCTTGTATCTATCAATAGACAAAAGATACTCGTACTTTGCCAGCGATCGATTCATGTTCTCTGCTTGATTGTTGCGTGCAAATCGCTTGTATCTTCGAAATACATTTTCTTGTTTTTTTTTGTTTGATTTTTTGTCAATATCTCAAGCGACCGATATTTGCTTTGTTGTTTAGCATCCACCTCGCATCGCAAGTGATTGAATGTCTTTCTCGTCAGTGTAACTGTGTGTATATGTGTGTGCCTGTGTGTGTGTGTGTGTCTGTCTCGTGCACTAAATATTTAAAATAGCTGCATCTTGAGTGGATTTCTTTAGCTGCTACCGTGGTTGTGGCTGTGGCTGCAATCCAATTGCTTCCGGTTCAAATCGATTACACAAAAGCGCCTCTGCCCCTCTTTGTTCCTGCCCCGCGGCAGTGCTTTCCCTGCCTTCCCCCTTGCTTCGCCTCAAGTATCTCATGCGTTGTTTTCCATACAAAATGAAGTGCACCATCGATTAGTGCATTCGTTGCGTTTCGTTCTGCAGCTTGTTTGAGTTATGCTTCGGTATCTTTTTTCATTCTCCACGCATACGCACAGAGCTCTTTGTTTTTCTAAAGAAAATTAATTGTTTTGTAAACACGTGAGTCGTCGTGAAGTAGGGGAAAATACAGCACAGGGTAGGGGGATGCATCATGCTCTCAGTTTCGCAGATATACTCGTACTCGTACTCTTGCTAGAGATACATTCATCTATGGGCCATAAGCCAGTTGTCAGTGCACTGCCACCGCCCATCAATCTTTGGCTGAGAGTATTCCCATAGAGTATTTTTCCTGCAGCCCGAAAACAAGTATATTTATTCTCGTTCAATCTTGTGACAAGTGTCAACAAGCCGAAAAAGAACGTCATCCAAAATGTATCTTCCGCTATAGATAGGTCGAAATATCATTTGTATCTACAGCTTTTCGCTTTCTGTTTGGCATTGAAATATTTTTCGTATTACCACATATGGTGTAGCTGTTGTTACAACACAATTTTGTAAGGGTTATGGCAGAGTAGCCACAGAAATCAACCCATCGAATGTATGGGAATTTGTGGTATTCTACTTCTGAGACCGATCAACTGTTAGCAAACTGTTTTGCCTGTGCTTAAACTTCCACAAAAAAAAGAATAAATCATCTGCAACTAAAACACATTAAATTTAATCAAAATGAAATAAACAATACGAACTTAGAGCAAAAAAATTAAATAAATAAAAAAACCTTCATTTTCGAAACAAAATAAACGCGAACTGGTTTAAATTTAATTTGCGATTGTTATAAAAATAGTATGTATATCTAGCATTTATGCTAATGTGCCATAGCATATTTATTTGATTAGTCTATCAACAATTTTAGCTCAACTGTTATAATAAATTAGTTTCAAGCTGCGTTAAGGCACATTTGCATATGCAAACAAAAAATGAAAGAAAACGAATAAAAGCTTAAATAAAAATCACATAAAAATTAACATTTTTCAAGCAATGTAATAAATGTCCGTTGAGCGTGTTTCCCGCTTTTGTTTTTTGTTGTTGTTTGTTTGATGTAAAAAACAAACAAGCGGTTGACGTGAACTAATTAAGTTGCGCAGCCCCCAGGCTTAGATTTATCGCCACCATCCCAACCCATAGATACTTTCCCAAAAGAGAGATACGCATTCAAAGAGTAGCTAACCCATCCGTTTGTGACTGTCAAACACATAAATTTGGCACTGAAAAACAAAAACAAAACACCCAAACATCCGAAAGAACAAAAAACATAACGAAATTTGCTAATCAGTTTGTCAGGCAGCAGTTCAATGACTAGTCGGCATGCCTTCCCATTTTAAGCTGGCGTTGTCTACGCCACAGATAGAGATACTTGTAGCACTGCTAATTTGAATTTATGTTTAGGTTTTGTGGTGTGGTTTCATGATTTTTGGGTGACTTGTTGTCAAGCTGTTGGCGCAGAGCGACAAAAGATGATTTCGTTTCATTTATCAAATGGAATGCCGCGCAGAGCAAACAGTGGGATTGATACAGGTGTAAAGTGGTCGAAAGTAGGGAATAGAAAGATATGAAATACAAGATAAAATAAAGTAATACAAATTTATGTTTGCATTTAAATATTCAAACAAATTATAGAAAAATTTGAAGCATCTCTACAGTAGCTCTCTGCTTGAAAACTGTTCCTAACCCACTGTGGCACACACTTTTATTATAAAATTAATTCATTCGCTGACCAAAGATGCCGCCACACTTCTCCGGCCCATTCATTATTCAGCTTCTTCTCTCTGGCTTTGAATGTCGCGGATTTTTTATTATTGGGTGATTTGGACATTAATTTGATAGGTAGTCAGTGATTGCCACTTAAAATGGGTTAAGTGAATATCCAGGTTTTTAACGGATATGCAATCAAGTCGCTAGTCAAATTATCTTGCCTCCCCTGGAAGTGTTAGGCGCTGAAACCATCTATTATTATCCGAAGAATACGTACCCCCAGGTGGAGTCGTCTCTTGACTTTCGCTTTCTCATTCAACAATAACTGTAATTATGGATCTGCCGTACACATTATGCGGTCCTAAACACACAGCTTTTCGTTATTCATTTTTTTGTATCGCTCATCATAATTTGTGCGACAGATGGAAGCGATCCGATCCGTTGGGGTGGGCAGACGGGAGTCGTAAAACCTAAAAGATACATTTGTAGGCTGCCACCCAAAGGTGTGATTTTTATGCCCCTATCTAGGGATTTTGGCTTATTTCCATCTTTGGGTTTATTTTTATATTCTTTTTGGGAGTCGCTTTTTTGTTTGGTGATTTTTATGCTCTGCTGTCGCTGCTGTTGGATGTGGTGGCTGTGGCCTGCCCCTGCCCTTTTGCCTTAACAGAATTTAACATAAATTCTGCTGCTGCTGCTGCTGCTGCTGGTTCTCCAGGCATAAACAATGTCTTGAGAACCGGCCAAAATGTGTGCCGAGCTCCATGCATATATCTTTTATATATATATAATCATATATCTGGGTGAAAGGGAAGCCTTTCTTTTGCTGACAAACTTGCAGAATATTTTGCTGATTTGTATATTACAAATTTATTTAAATTCTCAGATTTATGGCGTATTTTTTATGCCCCTTTTTACGTCTCTAAATGCTGCCAACATTTTGCGCGTTTTGTGAGCGTTTTGAAACGCCTAAAATGTACATATATGTATTTATGCGTCTGTAAGTTTGTCTGTCCTTTGCTGTAGGGCCTTTGCATAACTGCGCAGACAGAAAGGACAAAGCAATTAACATTTTCTCTTATGAGTGGTGTCTGATTTGTTGTCCCTGCATTTTTGTTGTGGTTTTTTTCGTCACTTTTTGCACTTAAATGCTGCATAGAAAATGAAGCTGTGGCATGCCGCTGCTGCGTAGGTTTGCTGAACACGTGCCAAAAAGGCAGACATCAGCCACAGGCACTGCCGCTGGGAGTCTAAGTGCAGTGGCAAACGTCACTCAGCCTTCGTCCCGCAGTGCCGCCTTAGTATCTTATAGATACAGATACAAATGCGGTCCTGTGCCGCTTGTTTTTGGCTGCAGTTAGTGCGTGATTATTTTCAAATTCGACACAGTTTTGTGTCGCTGCCGACTGCGAATTGTATTTGTTGCTTTGGCGAAAGTTTATTTTTAAACAATTTGCTGTCGACAATCGTGCGAGTTTTCCCTCTCGTTTGGTGGCGGGGGGGAAAGTGTTTTCTTTTTTCTGCTTTTGCGTAACTGCTCCCTTTGGGCAGCAGCAGCGATGCTTCCACTTTATGTAACTTCTTGATGAGATACAATTGTATCTGTGAGCTAAAATAAACTGTGCCAGTTCCACGCCACACTCCTCTCTGTAGGTCTTTTTATAGAGCTATTAATTGAAATGTCAAAAATTGTCTTAGAATTTATTTACCCAATTTTGGGCTTAAGTTTCGCGCAGGCAAAAAAATCCAAAATTTGGTGACCTCTAATTAATTTGTATCTCAATCGATAATTTATCTCGTTTATGTGTTCTCTTTTTGCAGGCAGGAAGCGATGTGTATTGCGTCTGACATGACACGAAAGTCATTGAAGATGATAAGATGCATTATCAGCGGGGAAGACGAAGATGAAGATCCGCAATTGAAAAGTGTTAAACGCGTTCACGATATGATAACCTAATTTCCAATTGAAAAAATCATTCAAAACAGAAGAGAGTGGGAGAGAGACGCGACTCGACTCCTAAATAAACTCTACGAAAAAAAAAACATAAAAAACAACGAAACCAAAACGAAAGTAAAAAGGCAGCCCCAGGAACAACGACAAAAAAAGAAGAGATTTCTTTAAAGCAAAAGGGGCGTTCGTACGTTGCATATGTTTGAAGGGCGTGGCGCCCAAGCAACAAACTATAAACAACCACACAGAGAGAGCGAGAGAGAGAGGGGAGGAGCGAGGTGAACAAATTTCATATAAACATTGAGTGGAGAAGAGTGGCAGAGAGCAGAGCGGAGAGCGGAGAGCGAAACTCTTGTGAAATTCCCTCAAGTTGTGATCTTTGATGCGAATAAACCTGCGCTTGGACTGGAGGGCCCTGGCGCTGCTGGGCGCCCTCCTTTCGTGTCTCATTGCCTGGCAGGGCTGTTTGGTATTTGCAATGCCAATGTCTTTAACAACGATATCGAACCAACACATAAACAACAACACAAACAACACGAAGAATACGAACAACAGCCATTCAAATAGTACTCGGTTTAGTAATAGTAATTATCTAAAAAGTGATCATAGTCGTAGTCAATTAGTGAATGTAAATCAAACAAATCAAACAACAAATCAAAGTATTAATGCTGAATTTAATCAGAGTTTAAACATGCAAACAACTGCCATACAAACAACAGAAGAAACAACAACGACAGAAGGAGAACTAGAATCCACATCACAATCCTATGAGCAGGAGCAAAAGCAGCAGGATGATGACGATGATCAGCAGCTGGAGCAGCCTGGGCTGGGTTTTGTCATCTCTGCGACAGCAAGTGCCAGCGAACATTTAGCGGTGCTTTCACGGACCGAAAGAAGCATCCGACATCAGCAGAGAAAACATCATCATCCGGAGCAGCATCATCATCTGCAGCAACAGCAGAAATCCCAACAGTCCCCATCAACGGCTGATAATAATAATTTCATTGGTTCGAAATCGAAAAGACTGAATAACTCTAGAAATAATCTAAACATAAATAGCAGTAGCAGTAACAGTAACAGTAACAGTAACGGTAACAATAGTCCCATCAACAATTTGGATCGCAATGAACGCTCCACTGTGGCACAATCGCATCTTGCATGGACTTCACGCAAGATTCAGTTGTACATCAAAAATCGCATACTCCAGCTGCTGCGCGACGGCACTGTCAATGGCACACAGGACGAACAGAGTGAATACAGTGAGTACCAATAATATCTTTCAAGTGTGCGCTGCTGATTACTCACTTAGCTGCCACTCTTTTTAATTTGTATTTTTATTTTTTGTGGACTAAATAAACAAGCAAATAAACTAATGTCTTATGGCATTACTCTCCTATGAAATATTTCGAATATTAGAAATAATACACGCCCACGCAGTCGTCCAAAGATATATATGTAGTATGTACACATGTACGTGTGCATGTTCCTATAGGTGTAGCGCCAACAAGTTTAAAGTTCTCATAAAATGCTGTATAGAGGCCTCTGCGTAACACGCACCCAAAAAATCTGCCAAAAGAAATCTGAAGATGAAGGAATGAACGCTAGAGAGCTGCAGATTAAGACCAAAAGATGACCATGATAGAGGTGGATTTTTAATGTAGATATCATAGTTATTGCTGAAATTTGTTGGGTGCTTTTGTTTGATATTTTTGCCGTGTAAGACATTCCATAGAAAAAATATTTGGGACTGGCTAAAATTCTATTCAAATTCACTACTCCAAGACACCTAAATATGCGTAAATATCAGCAACTCTAATGGCATTCTCACCACTCATTAGATGCCCTAAAAAAACACCTCCTCCCGGCTGTTACATACCTCACGTTGTAGTCTTATATACCCGCCTAATCCCCAGATGACCTGCCACAAATGCTAGATATTCTAGTTTTTTTTTTGGTGCCTCTGTTTATGTTGAGGATCATTAAGTTAGACACTTGATTTGGCAATACTTTGGACTATAGAGAGCCAAAGCATAGGATGTAAGAATGGAGGAGGGATCGTTGTATTATTTGGCATATAAATTCTTTTAGTGTGGAGCGGGCTAAGGGCATAAATCTTTTAGTTTAATGAACCGCTCGGCCTGATTTCCTCAGTTCTCAGTTCTACCAGTCGCTGCCTCTGCGTCTCTCCCTCTCTCTGGGGAAATACATAACCGAATGACTCAGACACAAAGAGGTGTATGTTGAGGTCTCCTTCCCTCTCTTAATTGTGATTGTGATCATGCTCAACGCCGACGATTTGCATAACTTTTTGTAAGCGAATTAATTTACGGCTGCATTTTCATTGACTCTTTTTTTATGTGGGCCAATTTGCAATCTCTGATAAGTAGTCACAAAAGAAAACAAAAACAAAAAACCAAAACCAAAACCCAAACTTGTTGTACAACATTGAAACATCAGGAGGCGGATTCCAAAGAGAGAGATTGCCGCATAGATTGTATCCGGATTTTGTTTTACTCCGTCCCGACACCAGGAGTATCTGTTGAGCTGCGAGTTTCAGGTGTTAACTTGATTCTCGACTGGATGTGCCTCGCGATAATGCGACTAAAGTGCGATAAGATTGAAATTACTCTATAAAAGAGCTTTTTTATAAGGCCTCTTCCACCTGCACTGGCTGCATTCGAGATTTTCTCTTTCACAAGCCACCGAAAATTCGGAGGCAAAGCCAAAGGCCCGAGCCATTTGTGTTTATTAGTGGCTAAGTGAGGACTTTATGGCCTCTAAATTGTACAAAGTGCAACAAAATCACGCTCATGCCTCTCAAAGCTTCTGCTCTGGAGTGGGCCATAATATAATAAAGTTCTTTTTTCTATTTGGGCTATGGCCTTGATAGAAGAGAGATTGCTGCTGATATGGCACCTCACAAGAATTATGATGGCATGATGATGATAAAAGCGAAAGTGTGATGAAAGATTTTTTGTGGGATAGGATAGGATTTTTGTGCATAGGAAGGGGATAAAATTGAAGTATTTTTAGATTTTTTTGGGTCATTTTTTGGCTAGTGGAAAAGTCTGTTAAAACTTCTAGCATACAGCGACAACTGGCTGTCAAAATATAGTTGTTTAAACTGCATAAAAATGATCGAACTAAATGCATTTTTCATGCCGTCAACTTTAGATGTCAGCATCGCATTGAAGGCTCTTTGTCAGCAACACTATTTCATATTTAACTCCAATTCATACCTCAACTTTAGCGCCATATTTAGCTCCTTCTTTAGTACTTTCTTTAGCTCCACTTTGAGCCTCATCTTTAGTCATACTCAAGTCTCCTCTTTAGCTCCAATTTCCTCTCTTTCTTGAACCAACTTCAAGGCTTGCATGTGGAAGCCACAGCTTCATCTTGCGATCTTCAAGCAGCATCCATGTGGCACAGCCTCATCAACCAGTTGACCTCCAAAAGTCGGAGAGGTCTCAGACAGTGCAGAGGCTCAACTCCAGTTGCGGTTGCCACAAAAATTGCTGAAGCGGCTAACGGTGTTGGAGTGGCAAGGAGAACCCCGAAACCCGATCCCTTGACATGGGGCGTGCATATTTTCATGATGATATATGGAGGAGAGTACTCGTACTCCACGTTCATCTACCGGCGGGCAGGCAGACACTAGCGGACATGGGCAGGGGACGGGGCACCAATTATGCGACTGATTTAGTGCGTGGTGCGATGCCATGGGATTCCATTGGATGCCAGAGAGGTGTGAAGTTGAGTGAAGTCCAAAAGTGAAGCTTGGAAGATGCTAAAAGCTTCCGACAGACTTTTTTGATAACTTAATTTACGGCACGTCGTGGCACGTTGATGAAGTGGCTCAGAGGCCAAAGAGAGACTCGAAGTATTTGGCCAGCAAATACCAGATGCAAGTCTGGACTGGCATTTACTTTCACTGTCACTGTCTGGGATGTGTCAGAGTGTAAATTGGCTATTTAAATACTAGATCTTCAACATTACAATTCATAATCAATGCAGAGGCTGTGACTAAATTGTTTGTCCAAATATTTTATGTTAAAAGTAGTCTTCTGGTTGGGAAAGGAAAAGCGAATGCATTCCAATTATGTTTCGGCATCCAAAGAACTATTCTTTCACATCAAAAGGCACCATTTTTATGGGGTTTTCTTAGCCCAAAATGCCTGTAAATTGATTCAGCAAATTGAATCAATGATAATCCCAGGAGATCATGATTAATACAGTCTCCCGAGAGGGAGATCGCATAAAAGGGAATTTCAACATGTTTAATTCCTCAGCGAAGAAGTCTATTATATCACTATTCTCACATAATACAATAAATTAATTTTACACAAACATTTTCATGCTCTAGCTACGTCACAGATAGAGATACAGATACAGCTACAGATACAGATACAAACAGTTCTCATGGTACAAGGAGGCTGCCTCTGTTGCTGCCTTTTCTTGTGGCTAGACGGCGACGGCAAACAAATTTATTGTAGAAATCTTTCAGCGCAGGAGGAAATGGTTGTGGCAGGCTAGAGGAATATTGTGATACTCTACGAAAATGAATGAGGAAATTGGAAGTTTGGAAAGAGCAAAGAGGTAATGGATCGTACATATGGGGTACGTTCTTCCATGGAAGGATTCTACTTGAAGTTATTGCATAAAACCATCATTGCAAAACAAAGACAAAAGTCAATCCCACGGAGATATTAGGGAAATTCTTTATCCCAAACAACCGAAGAGTGCTGCTGTATGACGCGCCTACTTGTTTCTTGTATCTTTTTTCGCTCATCTATCATTGAATATTTCTATATTCTGACTCATTTGGTACTCTGAGCAGCTCTCCTATCTTATCAAAAGCTATCTTATCCCCGCATTCTACCTATCGGTTTCTGCATTTAAGCATTGCTAAAAGCAAATCTCTCTTTCCCAGAATTAAACCTCTTTACAATGCCAACAGACTCTGCTCCATCTTAAAGCTTACCATATTTTGGAGCACATGTACAACATTTTCATGGGGTAACTTCCGTGTCCGTGTGTGAGTTTTGGTGTGTGGGTGGCGTGTCGGACAGACAGAGAGACACTAAGAAGACAACACTTGACGGGCTATTGTCAGCGAGGTGGGGCTCATCATCAGTCAGATAAATGGCAGGACTGGTATGGGTCTGGTGTGGCACCACCAGCAGTAGTACCAGAAGTGGTGCTGCTTGGTGGCCATTGGTGGTGTTGCTTCTGGGTGATTTATGCTGACGGAGACCTGCGAAAGTGTTTTGTTTCAGATAAGATTATGCTACGCATAGGAATAGTTCTCTAGAGAGCGCAGAAAACATGGAGAGTGCCCCGCAGATTATGGCAGAGAGTGGAAGGAACGCAATATGTCAAATGGATTTGCCGCATAGTTTTCTTTTTCTTTTTTCCGACTTTTGGCGTGGGTAAGAGACACTTTTCCGGCAGCCAAGAGTTTTCTTTTGTTATTTTTAGACAGGTGGCAATGAACTGTATTTAAATGTGCTTCTGTGTGCCTCAGTCTCTCTCTCCCTCCTGTTATATAAAAAGGTCTAGGCCAGGTATTATACACATATTTAGTACAAATTCGCTTACTTGCCACATTCATTATTGATCCAACCACCAGCATTGACAAGAAAAATGTTAAATTATGCGTAAAATGCGTAAAAAAAAAGAAAAGAAAACGATTTGGTAAACGGCCCCCGAAGTGGATGGTTTATGATCTCGGCCCTCTTATATAAATTATAATGATTAATGACATTTTGCACGCAGATCTCTGCCACAATCTCTGCCGTTGCTGTCGTTCCTGCTGCTGTGGTTATTGGCGTTGTTTTACAATCATTTTTACAAGCAATTCATTTTCACCCAAAAAGACGGCGATCGCGGTTTGGGGGCAGCAACAACAACAAAAATGAAACGTTGCCCAGTGGCACAGAAAAAATAATCAACCAAATGGCCACAGACTGGAATGAGGTATGTAACTTTGGAGGTTTTACAATAAAAATACAAATAATGCAGGTTGGCCGTGATACGGGGCGTATGCTGAATATGAGAGGGGAAGCTTATGATTTTAAACGACATTTAAAAAGGGTTCATGTGGTTTAAATTTGGAACTGAATGGTAAAAAATCACCAAAAGAGCATCCTATTTTTCTTTTAGCTTGTCCCTAGCAAATAAATCCATCAAAGATCCAAATGGCAAACACAGACTTTCTTTACACAGTCGGACATGCCGACAATGCCACTTTACACACATC